CACCCCGCCCAGCTTAAAATCCAACAGCAAAGGCGCATCGCCCCAAAAGAGGCACTGCTTAAACTGACTGGAGTTCTCATGATTTTTTCCTTCTTTTTTATTATTTTTTTTTTTGTTTTATTTTTTTTTTACATTCCCCTACATGTCGTGTGCCATTAGCCAAGGTGCTACGCTTCTTTCAGCGATGGCAAGGAGACAGCTGCTGTCTGCCCCGCCGTGCGCTCAGCCGTCGCCGACGCACTGGGGCACGCGCGTAGGCGTGTGAGGCAAACGCACAATGTCAGCTTTCCCTCAGGATCGGGGGGGTGGAGGAGGTTGACTGAAGGAGACTGCCCCCTGCAGGCAGCCGTGAAAACCTAGCGGTTAAAGAACCGGAGCCGGATGGTTGTAGTTCAAGAGCCGCTGACATTTCATCCCCGATAACATGATTTTCTTTTGAAAAAAATAAATATATATATAAATTTTTGAAAAAACATGCATTATAGGATATTTGGACACAAGCTTGTGAGCCAGTGCCTAGTGAGGAATATCCACAGGCCAGCCAGCTGTTTTCTGTAATGCAGATGAGGGCAGTCTGATTACAGAACATCATTTTATCCACCCCATAATTTTTGTCTCAGAACAGGACTCTGACTGGGCCCAGCGTCATTCCTCTTTTATGCTGATTTTTTTTTTCCTTTTTTTTTTTTTCCATGGGCGGTGATGGTCGTTCACTGTACCTGTGGAAGGGAGCCAGCAGAGGGCGACCTTCTCAAAGGCAAATGGGCCGCTGGCCTGGAATGTGGCGCTGTAGGCGTGCTGTGGAGAGCCGGTGCTTTGGTTCAGCGGTGGGAGTAACTCTGCTGAATTAATGGTAAATTTTCAGTATTTAACGTCCTGTCTAAACCAGGATCCTGGGGGCCAGTGAAGGGGACAGGTGTCAGTATTTTCTCACCACTGCCGACAGATTCGGATGAAATAGACACCCACCACATCCCCTGCCATCACATCCCCTGCCACCACATCCCCTGCCATCACATCGGTCTCGGTTCTGGCCCCCATCAGGTCGAATTGCAGTGGAGCAGCAAAGAGCTATGGGAGTTGGTACCGTTGGGGTTTTCGTCCCATGGTAGGCAGGGACGCGCTGGACAAAGACGACATGTGTGGATAAACACGGGAGCGGTTTGTCTGAAAGATGCCAGGATCTCCAACCCAAGGGGATGTAAAAGTATGATGTATAGAGGAGAGACGCAACAAAGGCTGCCTTTCGAAGGCTGCCTCTGCTGCCCATGATTTACTTACTGACAATCGATCTTATGGCTGCCCGAACCACATCTCGGCTTCACAACCACCCTAGTTTCTGCCAGTATGTGTTGTTACATTATGGCTGCAATGACTAGTGTCAATTCTGGAGAAAATCTGCGAAGGTGTGTAACCTTAAAAGGTTACTTTTCGAGCTGTCTGTTACTGTAAGGTGTGTCCCAGAGGGGAAAAAAAAATGTAACATACAAATTTAAAAGTGCGTCGTGCAGTAAGGTGTGTGTGTGTTCTACAGATGCTTTATATTACTGTTAAAGAAAGTGCTATATAGATGGATTATTATTTAATAACAGAGGGTAAAGAGTATTTGAGATATTTATTTCTATAAAGAGAGAGGTCTATATCTGAGCATGGTTCAGCTTTTTCACCCTGCCTTTTAACCGTTTTGCTGTACTCCTTAGAGAATTCGAGAGCCGGATCGCTTGCACACTTACTCTGTGTTTCGTTGGG